CATGCCAGGAGACGGTGGGAAAAAGCACGGGACAACGCGGCACCGCCAGTCGGAGGCAGGGACACGGCACGGCCACGGCCAAACCGTCCTGCGCGCGGGCAGCAGACCACGAGGAGCATGGAGCAGCACAGGGACCCGCGGAGGGGCCCGCGGAGCAGCCCGGCAGAAAGATCCCCGCATGAGAGAGCAGTGGAGGGGGGGGGGGGGGGTGGGGACACGCGAAAACACAGCAGGGCAGGGAACACGGAAGAGGAGCAGACCACAGCAGCAGATGAGGACAGCGGGCCACGCGCACGAGAAAACAACGTGGCAGAAAGCGACCCCTCCAGAACAACGCATGCATTTGCGAACAGGAGCCGTTAGCGGACATGCACCTGCAGACTTCAGAAGCTTGCAGACTTCAGAAGGCCGGGAAGTGGGAGGTCTCCGGCTTTGTAACCTTGCTGTCCTGGTGGGTTATTGGTTGACTGGATGTGGGCGTTGTGGTATTATGAGTCGGAGGAAAGAGCAGCCTGTGGCCTGGGCAGCAGGAGCTAGCCGGGTTACCACGGTGAAACTTTCGCGAAAAGCTCCATGTTTTCATTATGAACTGAAGCAATGATAATGTTATAAAACAGTATGTTTCTTATTCTGCCTGAGTCCAAAATTGTGTCTGAAGTGTCCATCCTAATGGGAGATTTCTTCACTGGCTTTCTCAAACACAATGCCATGGGATGACTCCGTTACTGGTTGTACATATGATGATGTGAACTCTCTTTAGGAAGTTTAGCATATGTATTTTAAATTTGTGATAAGTTCTTTTGACAATTGTCCTGGTGGGCACACAATGGAGTAATCTTGTGCACTTAGTGCATGCACTTGTCTGCGATTGATTGATGAGTTGTCTTATGTGCTTTGAACACTGGCACTTTGGGAAAAGTATACATTTATTTACCATTCCATGCAATTTGGAAATCAGCTCTAAGACTTTTAGAGCGCTTTGCAGATTCTTATTCAAATCATAAGCATACTCCAAAAAACTGGTATACTGATTTGACCTGAGGAGGATATGACAGGTTGCACACCCAAATAGTTTGAAGAGTTTGTCCAGGGCACAAGTCAGTCCTTCATCTTTGTTTTTATTGAGAGGGAATTACTTGTCATTAGTTGCAACGGATGAAAATATTGTGCGCTGGGTTTCCCCTGGGATGTCCTAGGCAAATGAGTTTTAGTTGCTGGACTTCTGAATCAGAGTCTGCAGTCAGACTCAAAATGCTTGTTCCACTCTGGAGAATAAAAAAATAAAAATAGACAGTTTTGAAAACAGTTACTATACTCAAATGTCACAATTCAATTTGCAAAAACAATGCAGGACCCACAATTTCACACAATGCCATACGTAAAATAAGGCTCTCATAAGAGATCACAGCTAATTATCTAGGGATTCACAATCCAGCTTTTAAATTTGCATATAGGTGACGTCATTTGGCGGTTAGAAATAGTGGTTATAGAAAATTTCATACAATATTTGTATTTTTCTAACTGACAGACATATATTGATCAACTAAGACATGAAACACACACAAAACACACACTGTAAAAACAATTGTAATATGTTCATGAAAATAGGAAAAAATATAAATTCATGGTGCTAGCTTGTGAGCAGTCTGCCCCAGACGCGAGTCTCCAGGTGAAGCGCGTCACCGCGACCACTCCTTTGCAAGATGTCTCCCCTGCTCTCTCTCTCATTCCCTCTGATCTCTCTCGTCTAACACACTCAAAGACAAAGGTTCTACAACCATTTTACTTTGTCCCGGTGATTACGGAGGCATGAAATAATATGGTGAAGCACTTTTAGCGGAGGACTTAGCGGAAACTTCAGCGGAGCTGGAGGTCGCGGCGCGGGCGCCCCGACCCGAGTTCCAGGCTTGTTTTTCCGCCAAATCTAACCTGTCTCCAAACCATCCATTGTCTTTGCCCTTCTATGAGAAAAACACTGTTCCCACTGCAGACCCTGTACAACGTGTCTAAAGTTAGTTGTTTGGTGCGCTTTAACACCTTGCAGGACTGACCCCGCAGCTGCATCGCTTCACAATGGATTTCTGCACTGGTTCACGCGGTCTTGCTCAAATATTTTTGTATGGGAGCATGAAAGGCCCAGAAAACTCAGGAACTCCGAAAGGGCCCTGGGTCCGGCCGGGATTCGAGACCCAGGACCTTCTAGCTGAGAGGGCGCGAGTGCTATCCACTCAAGCCACCGTGCCGCATTGCCGGTGTGGTCATTTCTGCAAAAACCATGAAAATCCATGAATACAGAGTGAATGCTGAAACATTTGAAAATCTGGGAAAAATGTAATTATGTGAATCTAATACATTAAAAAGGGAAAGGCAAACATTTTTTTTTCTTTTTTTAAAGTCAGAAGGAGGAGAATCGACAATGGAAAAAAGGACAAGGAGATCTCGAAAAAGGATTTACCTTGGCTAACATAATTACACCGAAAGAGATATCAGACCAAGTCCAGAGTCAGGCACAAGACTGCAATGTGGTTTTTACCAAGCAAAAATATGCAAGTTAGAATAAAGGCATAATAATGCACTAGTCACTTTACCATTAAAGGGTCCATAATAATATTAATTACATTTTAAGTTGTGAAAAGATGTACTTGACACACTATTAAAAGTACTCAGGAATTCATCATTACACTACCAACTAATGTAAAACATGAAAACAATGACATACCTCTGGGACAGTCCCAACTGTAGGATGAAGCAATGGCTCAATTGAAGTGAACCGAGGGCCTGTTCTTAGGAAGGAGGGGGGGGGGGGGGGGAAAAAACAGTAAACAGATAAAGTTGAGGTTACAATAAGAATAAAAAATATTACCAATAGTTGGTTGAACATTACAAACCTGATATTCCGAAGTGTATGATTTAAATGAAATTCTGTATTTGTCAGGTCTGGACGAGTACATTGACATCCGCATCAGTAAATTCCTTAAAATCTTCACTGTTACATTTGAACAGACTGAAAGTCGGCTTTGTCTTTAAAAAAAGCTTGTGCTTTTATCAATCAGTTCTTTTATTGTGTTGATGATGGGTAAACTCTTTTGGCAATTCTCTTTGTTATCCAGCACAATGAGTCACAAGAGATCTGGGAATTCTCCTTCATCTGACAGGGAAAAAAAAAGAACAAAATAAAAAAAAATATGATATATATTCTTACCTGTCAAAACTGCACACACCGCAAATTAAAGCATTTCTTTTAAACAAATGCTAAATTATAATGTCTGTATTATAGCTATTTAAATTACAGTCATGAAAATTCATAAACACGGGTTATTCTAAAATATTTAAAAAAAAGCTCGTTAAAAGTTTACAAGACTAGTGGAAAATGTAAGCCAATAATCACACTTAACGCGAGCAAGAATTAATTACCATAAGTATATCTTGTATGCAATAAAAGGCTCAGTTTACTCGTGCCTTCCGCACAGCCCTCAATCCAACGTAGCCTCTGCTTCCATGACTGGTGATGAAACACCGCACTCACCTCAAATATCACATATAAAGCCAGCATTGGCCCATTTTCACATTTACGGGTCTCTTATGAGCATTTCTAAACTGTGTGGGCCCGCACATGCTCTATGGATGCTTGGGGTTACGGCACTACCACATCCGAGTGGCTAACCTGGGAAAAAAAACAGAGCTACCGAAGCGGGGGGTCAACCTTCGCGCAATTATTGATAAATGGATCTGTCAGATCAGTTATCCCCACATATCTTGATCGATTACACGTTAAGTGTTAACCACAGCTACTTCACTTCGTCTGGTTGGGTTAACTAAACAAGTTAGCGAGGAGTAGCGAAGTCAAGGCTAGCGTGGCCTAGTAGCCCAATTGGTGCAAATTAGTAGAAAGATCCACTTTCTGCCTAAAACCGTCTGAGGCGCCATCTCATGGCGACCTGTGTTACTACATTTGAATTTTGAATCTGGCGCCAATATTGGCGCACAGGTTGGACCTGACGACAGCAGCCCCCCGCCCTGAGCTATATAAACGGCCCAGTCTCGGTCACGCCCCCGTAGCGAGTTGGAGAAGGAATAGCAGAGTATTTTCATCGATTGTCAGGTTTGCGATTAGTTATAGCATTTAGATAGATTTTCATTAGCATAACTGTTTGTATTATAGATAATTGTGTCGTGTAAATTGCGTTGTTTAATATTGTAGTTTTAGTCATTAGTTGGTTGCTTTTATTGTTGGATTAGTTAGCTGAATTTAGCTTAGGACTTTTTTTAGTATTAATTTTTATAATTCTGTATCTTGTGAAATTCTATTGTATATTGTTTATTGTACTTGTGTGTTACGATGGGGAGGAAGTGTAGTGTAGTGGGGTGCTGTAGTTCTGTAGGTTTGCATGTGTTTCCTCCGGACTTAGAAATTAGGCGCCAGTGGCTGCGCGCAATTGGTTTGGAAGAAGACTGCAAACTCCCTCCTCACGCTGGAGTCCTGTTGCCCCGCCAACAGGACGATTTCGGGCGCCAATCTAAGGTGAGTGGGAAATTATTATTCACCCATCTTGGATTTGATCACTTTTGCAATGATTGTGACTGCTGTAAAAAGTTGGTTCAGCCTGTCCCGCTCATTTCTGTCAATAATTTCTGCTAAAGCAGACACACTGCTGAGAGCAATGAACCCGTTAATACAATGTTATTATTATTTGGTTCTTTACTGAATTTACTTGCTAGTTGCAGTGGCTAATGCATCAGTCAGCACATATTGGTCAGCTTTTATATTGGACAACAGCTGCGTGAAACGTGACTGCATCTACAAACTAACCTATAAAGCTAACCCAAAGCTACAGTATCACTACTGTGAGGCTAAACTGACCGTTGCCTATGGCTCCGTGTGCGCTCTGCACTAGTGTGAGCGTGCTGACCACTGCAGGTGGACTGTGGTTCTTTTGTGCTGCTATTAAATGCACTAAGGAAATGTAAAACATTGTTACTTATTTCTTTGTGTTCAGCCAATGACCAGAGAAATTGGTTGCCAGACTGATCCAGTCATTGCACGGCACGCAAGTGTCCAGGCCAATGTGAAGCCGAGCAGACGAAGCAAAGGTGATATCTCTATACATTTTTGTTCGAACAGTACAGTCACTTTGTGTCTATTTTTTGTTGTTGCTAGACTCAAGATATGTAAATGATTGTTTATTGTGTCTTTTTTCTTTTATAAAGCTATTCAAGCCCGAAGCGCTTACACAAGTGTCAGTAGTGGCACTGAGGACCTGATGGATATCACTCTTCCTGACTGTCCCAGAGCAGCCTCTACACCTTTAAAAAGGAAAAGGTGTGAGGTGCCAGCGTCTGATCCCAGCTTCCATATAGATGACAGTGCCAGCACTGTGAACTGCTCCAGGTATAAAAGAAATCTAGCTTTGTAATAAATATATATGTGTATGTGTGTTCATATATATATATATATATATATATTATATATATAATAATATATACACACACACAAATACACAAATACATAGATACTGCGTCAATAGTTGAGGGATTAAATATGCCTCTTTCTTGTATATAGCCTTCCCGGTGAAGTCCCTCCACACAAGGACAAAAAATATATTGTCCATGAGGACCACCTGCTGGAGCTGTTTAGGCGATGCCCTGTCTGCACTGGTCGTTGTACTGTGGACACGATGACAATCGGTACAATGCTTCGGGTCACTCAGCAATGTCCACGCTGTGAGTACTCCTATCACTGGTCCAGTCAACCGATGGTGAACAACATCCCGGCTGGGAACCTACAGCTCTGTGCTGCTGTGCTGTTCACCGGCTCATCATTTAGCCAGATTTCAAAGGTACTACTAAAACAAAGGAATGGTGTTATTTTTATACATATAATATCAGGTGATAACAGATCTTTTTATTACACAGTTCTTTGGGGCCTTCAATATTCAGGGACTGTCAGAGCAATGCTTCTACAGGCATCAGGCAAAGCTCCTCATCCCCACGGTTAACTGGCAGTGGAAGCTGGAGCAAGATGACCTCATCAGGGAGGCTCTTGAAAATGGCACTGTTACACTAGGTGGGGACATGCGGGCTGATTCACCTGGTAAATACATTACTTCAACTTTTTTTTTGAAGTATTAATACATGTCAGCTAATGTACAACTTGCATTTGTGTAGGACATTCATCCAAATATGGGAGTTACACAATGATGGATCTAAAGAGTAACAAAGTTGTTGATATCCAACTAGTGCAGGTAATACCATTCAATAAAAACCTGAATATTTTATTTGGGATAAGTCTGTGCTTAGTGACATAATTATTTATTCGTATTTTTGTTTTTAATTAATAGAGCAATGAGGTTGGAAACAGCGTGCGCATGGAGAAGGAGGGGCTTGTGCGGAGTCTGACCATGCTGGAGGAAAGGGGTGTCAATGTGGAGGCCATAGTGACGGACCGACACACTGGCGTTCAAAAGTTTTTACGGGAGCAAAGACCAGAGATTCGTCACTACTTTGACCCATGGCACATGGGAAAGGGTATGCATTTGGGATTCCTGTGTTATGTCATGGTTATTGTGCATTTAGTAAATATATATTGTAATACCTAGGAATTGGGAAAAAAGTGGATGAGCTGGGGAAACGAAAAAGCACGCAAGATGTGGGTCTGTGGAGGAAAAGTGTGGTAAACCACTTGTATTGGTCCGCTTCCACCTCCACCTCGGGACAAGAGGCTGTCGCCAAGTGGACGTCTGTGGCCAACCACATGCAGAATGTCCACACTCATGGCAATGCCCTGTTCCCTCAGTGCCTACACGGGCCTCTGGTTGGGGAAGGGTCAAGGGTGTGGCTCAGCCCAAGTAAGTTCAGTATTTGTAATCAGTATGTGTATGATTGTATGTTATATTTATTACAATGCTTTACTCTAGGTACAGCAGCGTGTGAGAGACTGACAGACATTCTTTTGGCCCCGCGTTTTGTGAAGGATGTGGAAAAAATTAGTCCACTGTACCACACATCAACCCTGGAGGCCTTCCACAGTCTTATTATCAGATTCTCCCCAAAAAGCGTGGGCTTCTCCTTCAAAGGAATGTTGGCTCGGTAAAACTTACAGAAAGTATTACATTATTTTATGTTCTGTGTATATACATGTAAATATATTTTTTTGTTCCCAGGTTGCAAGTTGCTGCGTTACATTACAATGAAAATGCAGACAGGTCTCAGGCTACAACCATAGAGGGTGTGCTTAGGTATGCCATTTTATACCCAAAGTACAAAAAAGGAGACTACACAGTGAGAGCCTTGAAGACCAAACCTACCTCATGTATGTCACATTTACACAATGAGTTCAATGCGTATAAGTCAGTGAAAACAAATGTTTTTTTTCTTTTTTTTACAGGCTATATTGACAAGCTGATGGCTCTTCTATTTGACAATGTGGTGGGGGATCCTCTCTCCTGAACCACTCTGTGCACAGTATGAGAAGCCAGACAAACAGGAAGCTGTGAGCAGGCACAGGTCCAGATTCTTCAATAAGACATAAGGTGACCAAAGCAACCGGTACTGGATACAGATTTTAAGAAAGTTGTGACTTGGATCATGTTGTATGGCAAAGAGATGATGTAATTGTATGCCATGTTAAAAAATAATAACATATATAATATATATATATATATATATATATTCTTTGTTGGTTGTCCCAGTGATCGGAAAGAAATGCAGAACTGGGCAAGAGAAGGTGAACTGAGAAAATGACGAGGTGATGAGGTGTTGTAAACCATTTACATGATCCATCTCTACTGATCGCCATCAAAGTCCTCAGGTGATGACGAGGCTGTGGACATCTGTGGGAAATTACATTCAGAATGTCCACACTAAAGGAAAGAGACTTGTACACTCAATGTCTTCACAGGCCTTTGGTTGGGGATGCGAGAGTGTGGCCAAAATCAAGTGTGTAAGTACAAGTTCTTATCCCTATATCTAATTTATATTGATATATTTACACTTGCCATATCAATGTATTATTCTTTGTAATTCTGTATAATTCCATGTAGGCACAGCAGCATGTGAGAGACTCTTTAGATTTTTTTTAACACCAGTTTTTGAAAGCTGTAACTAAAATAAGATCACGATACCACACTTTGCATATTGAGGCATTCTGCAGCCTTATTCCAAGTAATGCTGGCCAGGTATAATATTGACTTGAGTTATTTCATAGCTTTGAAATGTTCAGAGTAGAATACATACTGTATATTAATGATTTTGTTGTTCAATTACAGGGTGCAGGTTGATGTCTTGAATTATGATTAAAAAAGGCTAATCTAAAACTCAAGCGTGGAGGCTGCACTGTGAGAGCCAAGACCAACCCTACTTCATATATTCAAATTAGCATGACGCTTATAAGTATTATGAGGAGAATTTTTTTCCTTTTATTTTGACTACATTGACAAGCTGAACTATTTTGTCTATTTTGAAGGACCAGACAAATAGGTGGCATGGACAATGGACAGTCCATGTTTTTTTTGTATGTAATCAAGCTCTACTTTATGCTTCCTTTGCAAATGGTTTATCCATTTTACATAAAGGACTTTTATTCTGTTATAGGTATTTGTTAATAAATTACTTTGTTTGTTTATGATAACTTGCACCTCAAAGTTGTCACTGTAATAACTAAATTCCCTTACTGCTGACACTGCAACTACAAAAACACTTATTGTTAGGGGTGCAGCACATCTTCCAAAAGCTGCCTGCTTAGATATTGAGTGGAGCATGCAATCATGATTTCAAATTGATACCAAGAAAGGTGTTATAATGGACCATAACTAACTACTGCAATTCTTTTTTGATATTTGTATTTGGAGGATATTTATTAAAATAACATGTAAAACTATAATAAAACAATACATTATGCAACTACACAAATTGCAGTGGTGGGAGGAATCCAGTGTATTCTCCATGTTCTGGGAATTCACATCTTATCCTGCTCACAGCACAGGAGGGGATGACCACACGGATATGCTGCCCTAAGTAACCCCAGCACCACCGGACAAAATTCCTGTATGCCAGAAATCTGTAACAGCTGAAAGAAAGATAAAACGTGGATTTTGTTTTTTAGTAAGGAGCTAACACATAATCATACTAAACTAACCTGTTGAGCATGGTCTCAGGCATGTCTCCAAACAGCTGCATGTAAGTTGCATGTACTGCTTGGAGCACGTACGGATTTAGAGCCACTGGCTCAAATCCAGGGTGCTGGGTTATGCAGGTGGCATGACCCCACCTGCTGACATCTGTGCATAACCTATGACAGACGGAAATTGAATTAATAAGTAAGGGCCGAGACTAGTGTAGTCAAGATGTTAGAGCGTGTGTTAAATTACTGTTTCTTTTGTGCACATTACTTGGGGTATAATTTCTATTCAAAATACCTTTGGGGTTTCCATGCAGCACACGTTTTCCCGTGGGGACAGGGATGTGCAGTGGCCGCAGGTGCACCTATTGTAGCAGAGTTTATAATATGGAGCTTTCGCGAAAGTTCACTGTGGTAGACCCGGCTGCTGCTGCCCAGGCCACAGGCTGCTCTTCCTCGACTCATCAATACCAGCAACGCCCACATCCAGTCAACCAATAACCACCAGGACAGCAAGTTAAAAGCCGGAGACTCCCACTTCCCAGCCTTCTGAAGTCTGCAAAGTGCATGTCGCTAACGTCCTGTTCGCAAATGCATGCGTTGTTCTGGAGGGGTCGCTTCTGCTCACGTGTTGCTCGTGCGCGTGGCCCGGCTGTCCTCAGTCTGGCTGCTCGTGGTCTGCTCCTCTTCCGTGTCCCTGCACCTGCTGTGGTTCGCGTGTCTCCACTGCTCTCCTCCTCTGCGGGCTCTTCTGCGGGCTGCTCCGCGGGGCCCCCTCCGCGGGTCCTGTGCTGCTCGTTCCTTGTGGTCTGCTGCCGCGCGCAGACGGTCTGGCGGTGCCGTGCGTGCAGGGTTGCCAGGTCCAAGAAAAATTTCCAGCACAATGACCTCTCAAAACTCGACCAAAAAGTATGAAAACTAGCCCAATAATTAATTTCAGTTCAATTTAAATTTATTTATCAAATAAACATTCTGTTTGCCAAACAACATTGGCTGGTTTATTCTCCTTTCATCAGCTGCTGTATTGACACACAAAGACATAGGTGTCAGTCAAAAGTTTGTTTAAAAGAGTGTGTGTTTCATTACCTAGTACCTACCTAGATTAGTTAATTATCTTACATTTTCACTCTTCCTCTTATCCAGTTCTGCTGCAGCTCTGTTGATAGACAAGCGTCCAGTTAAGAAACTGTAAAAATAATAAATATTTTTTATTTATCTTTTCTTACCCATATTAGTTAATTATCTTGTATCTTCATTCCTTCTCTTGTAGTTATGCTTCTGCTGTTGACACAAACATCAGATAAACATACTGTAAAGTTAGATAGATTTTATATTTCTACATATCTTACCTCATCTTGCTTTAGTCTGTTGTTTTCTTTGAATATTTCAACATTCTCTTCTTCTGATTGAACCTAACTGAACTTAAAATACTTTGAACTATATACAACTTTTCTCCCTCTATTCTACTGTTTCAGCTCCCTCCCCACTCTTCTCAGCTTGTGCTGAATACATTTCAGAAGTAAACAGTGACAGCATTCGGGGAGAAGATTTAAATTGGTGGCAGCAGATTTTCAATCTTTGCATGTGTGCTCGTATCCTCATTATGTTAAGCAAAGAGCTTTGCTCTAACCTGTTCCGTAGTTTATTCTTTATTAGTGACATTTGAGAAAATGCACGCTCAACAGCTGCATTACTAAATGGCAAAGCAAGAAGGCTTAGTGCAAAGGTGCTGAGGTCATGAAAGCTTCTTTCACCACTTGTGTCTCTGTATGTGTGCACTTCCACCCAGAAATCCTCTGTCTTGCTGTCTTCTCTGTTGTTCCATTCTAGAGAATAAAGGACTCTCCACTGTTGTTCTGCTTTAGCAACATCTCCGTTAAAAAGATGAAAGAATGGGAGTTCGTCTAGCTTGGGTTTTGTAACTGGGTTCAAAACTTGACTTGGAGACATTAACTTCAAAGCCCCCAACTGTTTTATATTTTCTGGAAGTCTCTTCTTAATCTCTTTTGCTAGCTCCAGCATGTAAGCCCTGCATCTGCATTTGGTGTCCTCTACAACTGCAGTGGTCAAGGTCTTCTTCTTGACTACTTCAGACAGAGCAAGACGAAACTGTACCCCAAAATCCACAGCATCAATGGGCAGTAGGTTGCCTTCAGTAAGATTGTAGTCCATAATGTCTTTCCAGTCAGTGAATGTTTTTGGCTTTCCTATGCGCTCAATGAGTGATCTGTAGAAGGCCAGCAGTTCAGTCAACATTTTTGCAGGATTTGGTTTTTCGAGTTGAAACATTTTGTTGAGCCTGTTCAACTCTGACACAATCGGATGAAGGAATTTCAAGTAGATCAGGTTGATGTCATCTTGGTACATTTGATACAATAATTCTGCCCCATAGCTTCTCTCACTGTCTTTTGTCAACTGAAAATGCAACTTAAGCGCAACATACTGTGTAAGGACACGGTTCACACACTCACTAATAGCAAGCCATCTCGTGTCAGACAGTTGTAAAATCTTCAGGGGTGTTTCTCCAACATTTATAGTTTTGTAGAGCTCAACGTATTTTTGGAGACGCTGTGTGGAGTTTGAGAACCAGTTGTAGGTCTGAGAAACCATGTACTCTACATTTCTGGGGAGTGCATTAACGGCCTTTGATGCACAGAGCTGAAGGGAATGGCATACACATTTAATATACACAATTTGGGGGTTGCGCTCACGAAATTTTTGCAGCACTGAATTGTGTTGTCCACACATTGTGTTACATCCATCAGTGGCAAGACCAATACATTTGTCTATGGACAGTTTGTTGTCATCCAGAAAC